GGCGAAAGGCGCGTCCCCGGGGATGCGCCTTCCACACGTGGCATCCAACTCAGCGAAAACACGGGTAAGGCGAGTTCCCGGGGACGCGCCTTTCGCCAGCTCAACAGAAAGGGTGCTACTTCGGGAAATATTGATCAAACGGTGTCAGAAAGGGGATATTAGAGAAAATTGGTATCAGTTATATCAAATAGCCGTCTTCAAATGAGGCTTAAAACTCGAAAATGTCCATAATAGTCTTCAGCCGATCAAATATACCATCAAATGGGTAAATTACAATAATGGTCCTTATACTCTTAAGTATCTCACATATTTGTTACCATAATATATTTTTTCAGAATTGGTCAATGACTTTCATCATTTTATTTTGGTCAACAATTGTTAAACATTTAATGAAAAATATGATTGGGCTCTCTTGGGAAAAAATGGATATTTTAAAATTTTGATGCATATTTTTAATGGATAAAGATAACAATTCCAATCATAAAGTTACGATTTTATACTCTGTTCTGTAAGACCTTTGCAATGGTGAGAAACTGATATTCAAAGTAAACTGATTGTGAATTATGTCGAGAAAAATGGAAAGCTTATATCCCACTTTGGTGGGATACCATGCGTGGAAGGTGCTTATATATATGAACTTACTCGCGTGCAGTTGTAAGGGGTGTAAATTGGAGTAAATCTAAATTTGATGGGGTTGAGGGCGCACCTTAACGACGTAGACGATGTGAAATATCCAGACCGAACGGGGCTTATGGATATTTTCCTTAATAAATGAGCATATAGTACACAAACAAGAAAAAAGAGAAGCATTTGGCATGAGGCATAAGCTTTCAATGACATTTTATTTCAAACGGAGGTTTAATGATTGTATACTCGATGATCAACCATTTCGCTTAAAGAGCAAAACAACAGGTGATTTTTAGTTCACCGATTCCATTCATGGATACATAAATGACATATCTTACTCCGCAATGAGAACAGCGATTCAAGTATTCAAACATAAGAAATAGCATCGGAAACCATAACTAAAAGAAAGAATGAAATTCAAGCAAAGAAGAAGAATGATGTGTGCACACCGAGTAGCATATTTCTTCACAACCCAAAAAAACAACTCATTAGGTTAGTCCATGACCACCAATTGGTCAGAGAGGGAGGCTAGTTGACAACATCAACAACCAGCTTGCGAGATTTGAGAACAGACCACCTCAAGCGGCGGTAGTAACCAGCTTGAAGCAATGCCAATGATAATAAGAATATCCATTTAAAACCCATCTGCATTACAAGACGGAGATATCACAAATTATTATTTTTTAAACGTCATGAAAGATTCTTTTATGATATAATACTCACCAGCTTCCTTTCTTCCATTTCTGGTTCTGCTGCCCATGACAAAAATGTCACCACATCTTTCCCCATCTACACCATATGACAACAATATTCAAGTGTGCACATGTGCATATAATATGCAAATACTTAGGAGGGTTCTCAAACCCATAGGGAAAATGAACGAAACAGAAGGTAGAGGCCGACCTGAGCCTCAGTTGCAGGCGTGCCATCTTCATACTCTACAGCACCATCAATAAGCATTTTAGGCATGGCAATTGCTCCCACGGGAAAGTAAGGGTTATAGTGTAACCCCCCTCGAATCTACAAAATTGAGAAATGAGGACTTTAGGGATTGATCTCAACAAAGAACATTCAGTCGTGGCTAACTATTTGCAGCCTGCTATTAACATCAAGTGTACACGTGCGTTTACGTGCATGTGCCAAACACTTGCATACAAAAGCTATTCGACAAAAAAGAACAACAGTTCAGTGTAAATCAATGCTTCAATCTGAACTATACAGTGACAGAAAGACTTGGGCCTTGCATTTAAAACATACCGTCTTCACAAGACAAGCTCATTGATAAACAGCAATTAAATTATCCAAATTCAAAAAGCTATGGAACGTCATCCTAACTTCAGACCCACATTGTATCTTCTGATGCCCACTCCCAATTGCCAAATATATAAATATGCAGTACCTTTGTACAAAGCTATACATATTAGATGTTTGAACATAGTGTAGAGCAGAATTTTCCGTAACACCCGCAGGAGGATCATGGTAACCAGTTAGAAGAGCAAACACATAATTCTGACCATTATGACGAGCCTGAAAAAATAACCAAGTATGATGTCTTGAGGATATATAACCGATAACTTCCACAGTGATCTAAAAAGGAAGGCAGGAATTACTTTGGTAATGAGAGTTAGATCTGGAGGATAAGCTCCTCCATTTGCAAACCTAGCTGCTTGTTCGTTTGCATATGGCTGAGTGAAGCGGTCACTGAGTTTACCCGGACGAGTAAACATCTCGCCCTCATCATTAGGACCATCAACCACTTCAATCTCAGCTGCCATAGCCTTCGTCTCCTCTTCCGTATATGCAACGCCAACCAAATCACGGTATGATATTAGAGACATAGAGTGGCAGGATGCACAGACTTGCTGGTAAACCTGGTGACCACGACGAATCCTGATCATGCAAAATCATTCTCACATTACGAACATTATGGTAGCAAGAAAAATCAAATATTCGCAATGGTTAACCTAAAATTACAATTTACAACTACAATGCAAGACTCTAAATAGATTCCCTCCCTTTCACTGAATGGAACTTGAGAGCTTAGACCGATGTAAAGGTTTTTCCTTATGAGGAGAGTAGAAAACAATAGGAACTAAAATTAAAGAAACCGTTCCTAAAAAGAAGACTCGATGGCCCCTGATTATATATATTGAAATCATCAATGTTTGTACTTGGATCACGTTTTTAAGTAAAGTTAATTCACTTTTGTGCATATAACCAAAAAAATTAAGGACAATCATAAAACTCACGAGGTATGGTCATATGAACCGAGGATGCCCTGGTGAGGCCAAGGATAATTTGGAACTCCTAACCCGTGTTCTGCCTCATCAGCAGATGCTACTGTTGCAAAACCTAATAAACCAGTAACACCAGCTCCAATGAGTGCAACTGTCCTCATACCAGCAGAACCAGCATCGTCATTAGCTTTCCTTGATGTAAACCACGATAAAGCTTGAACCTGAACAATAATGAATAACAAGTATTGACAAGTGGCAGAAAAATATTACAGGTTAAATTCTATAAAACTTTCATTATTATTCAGAGATGAAAAGACACTACAAATTTAACAAAAACTACGTAGTTTACAGAGTCTTCATAAGCTCACTCCATTAACAAGCATGATTTTAATGAAGGAAAACTAGGAAAGAAACTTACAGCAGAGTGAGATTGAAATTTCCTCCTTAAAACCTGGTGGATTAATCCTCCAGCCATTTCAGTTAATATCCCTGAAAAATCAGTTGAATCTAAATAAGCAAAATCATATTTACGAACAAAATTCCAAAGAGAATATCAAGGACCAAATGATATTAAACAGTGAATCCATACAATATATTCTAACTAGTCGAAAAATATTTTTAAGTCAAGTAATCATTAATTCTCCACACAAAAAAAAAAAGGAACTTTAGAGCGTTCAAACAACTGGGTACCCATAAAACCAAAGGATAAAGGTGAAAACGCAAATACCGGTCAGTTTTTTGTTGTTGCATAAACCCAATATAAAAAATAGCACAAAGAAGCTAGAAAAGGTGAGGTTTTAAGATTAAAAGGGGAAATGTAGAAAACCCTAGAATAGGGGATCGGGGGAGATCCAACAACTATGGAAGAGAAATAACTTGAGAAAGAGAGGCGTGAGAGAGAAAGAACTAACTCGAGAAAGAGATCGAAGGTCTATCACGGAGAAGTGGCGGTCAAAGGCACCGGAGGCTGCTTCACAGATCCAAGGGAAAATAGAGAAATCAGCTGAATAGTAGGAAGATAACAAAGAACAAATTTTGTAAAGAGACTGGAGATTGATTTCGTTGTGTGATGGAAAAATATCCGGATTTAGACCCGATTAACGATTCCATTTTTTCTTTAATTTGGACGATAAAAAAGTGATATCTCAGCTATTTATATATTTTAACCTCATCCAGGGTTAAAATACGAGTGTACAGATAAGTAATAGATGATGATTTTATAAATTTTAATAATTAATAAACTATAAATATAACACCATATAATTTAAAGATCATTTATATATTTTACTCTAAATTAATTTAGATCCGATTAAAAAAAAAACCACCGACCGACCCTCAAAACAGACAGCATTCTCTCTGTGTTTACACTTTGGGAAAGACATAAAATCATAAAAGGTCTAATTGTGGTATTGTCCTTGTACTATATTTAATTTTATGATTTAGCTTCTATGCATGATAAAATTCTTCTATTAATCTTTTCACTAGTATATAAATTGTGGAATAGTACTTTACTCTTATATATTTTTAATCTTATATTTTTTAACTTTTGAAATTAGAGTTTATATTAGTTAAATTAAATTTTACAATGAGTTTTTTATGTTATTTGTATATTAAATATTTAGTTCATATTATTTAATTTGAAAATTTTAAATTCTTATAATTTAATCAAAAATTTTATTTTGTTTAAATCGTTATTAAAATTTTAAAATTCTAAAAAGAAAGAAACGAAAAGCAACTAAATTATAATATAGTAGTATTAATCCTGCTCTTTAATCCATATTAATATCCTTAAAATTGATGTGAAAATATTAATTAGTGTTTAGTTAAACGATAAAATATATTATATCTTTAAAAATAATTTAAACTTGACTATTGGAAATAATTTTATCATTTTAAAAGTAGAATAGCTCAACCTCATTCTTTAAATAAAAATACAATATACTAGTAAATAAGGAAGTAAGCCAGGCTAACGCATAAGGACTAAGTCCCAAGTTAACTAATATCACATGGACTAAAAAATAAATTCTACCAAAATTCTAAAATACCAAAAGTGAACCTCGAAATACCATTAGAAAAAAAACCGTTGGCGCCCTACATATTTAGCGGCTGTCTCAAGCTGAATATCTTCTACCCTAATAAATAATGGAGATCGGAAATAGTATTGATGAAGCAGCTGCAAAAAGAAAATGGGAAAGAATCTGCATCACCATCAACATCAAAGCAAGAGCAACAGTTGCAGAAAACTTGCGTTCATAGTGTTTCTTGCCTGTCTTTTGGGACTGGCTTGCATTCTGAATCTCTTCTGGGCATCTTCTTCTTACTTTTCCTCTTCATATCTCAGCTTTGCATCCAATTGGGTGTCTCAAAAACCTCGTATCTTTGTTGCTCAACAACAACAAGACAAGGTTTTCCCTTTTGTCTCACCGTCTTTTTTGTTACATCCAATCGTCTTGTATTGATTTGGTTTAATTTTCGTTTGCGCGTTGCAGATAGGAAACAGGAAGGGGCATGGTTCCGAGAGATTATTATCAGCTACATTTGCGGACTTACCAGCACCGGATTTGCCATGGGAACAAATGCCATCAGCACCGGTGGCACGTCTCGATGGATCGGCAATACAAATTAAGAATCTTTTCTATGTTCTTTCAGGCTATGGCACCCTTGATTATGTAAGAGTATCAATCTCTGAACCCTTGATAATTTCAAGTCTGGGTCATTTGTTATTGCCTCGATCGGGTCTTGTAGGTGCACTCTCATGTCGATGTGTTTAACTTCACTGATAATACATGGTGTGTGAGGTTCGATTCGCCGAAAGACATGGCCAATTCACATCTAGGAGTGGCAACTGATGGGAGATACATATATGTGGTCTCAGGTCAATATGGTCCCCAATGTCGCAGCCCAACTGCTCGTACTTATGTTCTCGATACTCAGACGAAAGAATGGCGCAGTATGCCTCCTTTACCGGCCCCCAGGCATGTGTATCCGATCCGTGGTTACATTATATCAAACTGAACCTCATTCAATGAGCCAATATTCTGAAACTGAAATCTTTTTCAGGTATGCTCCAGCAACTCAGTTATGGAGAGGCAGACTCCATGTGATGGGGGGCAGCAAAGAAAACCGCCACACGCCGGGATTGGAGCATTGGAGTATAGCAGTAAAAGATGGCAAGGCATTGGAGAAAGAGTGGCGGACCGATATCCCGATTCCTCGTGGAGGACCGCATAGGTTTCTTTACTGCTCTTTTCCGAGATGTTAATACCTTCAGGATTCTGTTTTAGCTCTGAATGATTGACTGATTATTCAGCAACTGATCGTTTTAACAGGGCTTGCATTGTGGTAAATGACCGATTGTTCGTAATCGGCGGTCAAGAGGGAGATTTTATGGCAAAACCTGGTTCACCTATCTTCAAATGTTCTCGCAGGCATGAGGTATGTCATAGCTGGTTGATGGATAAGGTCATTGCAAGATGATCATTATTCAGACATATTGGATTCGCTGGTTTCTTATAAACTTAAATGCTTCATCAATGTTTTAGGTTGTGTATGATGATGTGTACATGCTAGATGCCGAAATGAAGAAATGGGAAGTGTTACCTCCATTGCCGAAACCGAACTCTCATATCGAATGTTCTTGGGTAGTCATCAACAATTCGATCATAATTGCAGGTGGTACAACAGAGAAACATCCAGTGACCAAAAGGATGATCCTGGTTGGGGAGGTTTTCCAGTTCCACTTAGATTCAATGGTGTGTGCTTTGTCTGAACATAACATTCCTAGTACTTTTTCTTTGTTTTTTAAGGCAATGAAACAGATTATAGATTTGGTAATTGCAGACTTGGTCGGTGATCGGAAAGCTTCCTTACCGTGTCAAGACAACCCTTGCTGGTTTCTGGGATGGATATTTGTATTTTACGTCCGGACAACGAGACAGAGGACCGGAGAATCCGCAGCCGAAGAAGGTCATCGGAGAGATGTGGAGAACCAAATTGAATATATGAATCTTAACCATGTTTTTACATTATTATTATTATTATTATTATAGCACTTCTCCTTTCATGGAATACAAAACTTACATACACTCTTGTAGCTCCCACAGCTTTGGTTTATGGTGGCAGTAATGCAAATAGTGGGGCTAAATTTGGAAATGACATGATGGTTAGAATGGGTTATATTTATTTTTGTAATTATATAATTATATATACACAGATATCATTGATAAATATTTGAATGCAATAAAAGAGAAATGAGATTCATGATTTGTGGATCTTAAGTCCATTTAGTTGAGGAATTCATGGTTCAACTTAATTTTCTAAGTTCCATATACTCTTACAAAGTTATAAAAAGATTTATAGTGTACATCCTTTCTTATCTCTATAACAAATAATGTACATGTATAAGATTGAGAAGGACTTGATGAATTTATTAAAATTAAATGTTGAATTTTACACTCGTAATGAATTCATAAATCAATATTTAGGTGGTCCTAGTGAAATGTACTTGATGGATTCATTAATTTGAAATATTGAGTTTTACGCTTTAAAAAGTTCATAAATTAGGATTTGGGTGGTCGTTGTGAGAAGAATATGATGAATTCAATGAGTTGATGAGATGAACTATTAAATGTTTTTAATGAATTCATATTCTAAACTTTGGGTGTTCCTTATAAGATGAATTTGATGAATTCACCGAATCTTAGAAATAGAGAGGTCGGGTTTACTAGATGCTCTTAATGGTTTCATAGTCATTATTTTTGGGTGATATGTATTGAAATAAACTTGATGAAATCAACTACGAAAATGTGAAAAATTACCCACCGTCTATGAAAGATTTGGGTTGTCTTTCTAAAGCATTTACTAGCATTCTTAAGTATATTGACTAATTTTTTTTATCTATCGTGAAACTTACTTGGCAAATAAATTAGTCGTGCATTGTGAGTTTACTCTTATTTTAATAAGTTTTAGATTTGTTCATTAATACTTTTAAAATTACACTAAATTGGATTAAATTATTTACGGTTAGCGATTGAAGACCTTTCAAAACCGAACCATGCTCATAGACAGACCCAAAAACTTGTGGGCCTGTCAAGTTTCAACTAAACCCGAACTAACATTTACACTTGGATAGCTACTTTCTTCCTTCTCTCTGTTCTATCAAATCAGATCAGATCTTCAAATTTATCATTCAAAGCTTTCAATCTTCATCTCAATGTTCCACTGAGAAACCCTAACAAAATTGTTGTGAATGGATATTCTTTTTGCTCAGATCCAAGCGGACCTCCGCTCAAACGACGCTCTCCGCCAATCCGGCGCTCTTCTCTCCGCCCTCCAACAATCAGCTGCCGGTCGCGACATTTCCGTAATAGCCAAATCCGCGGTAGAAGAAATCGTCGCCGCCCCAGCCTCGGCCGTCTGCAAAAAGCTCGCCTTCGACCTTATTCGATCCACTCGTTTAACCGCCGACCTTTGGGATTCCGTCTCTACCGGAATCCGTAACGACTTTCACTTCCCCGATCCTGATGTCGTTGCTGCTGCAATCTCCATCCTCGCCGCAATTCCATCTTATTCCCTCGCTAAACTTATCACAGATTCCAACGCAGAAATATATGCTTGTTTCGATTCTCCTTCGGATAATCTTCGGTTTTCCATTACTGAGACTCTAGGATGTGTCCTCGCTAGAGACGACCTCGTAACGCTATGTGAAAACAACGTTAATCTCCTCGACAAGGTTTCAGCTTGGTGGGCTCGGATTGGGCAAAATATGTTGGACAAATCCGACACGGTTTCGAAGGTAGCATTTGAATCCGTTGGAAGATTGTTTCAGGAATTGGATTCAAAAAGGATGAGCAGATTAGCTGGTGATAAGCTTGTAGATAGTGAAAATTCTTTGGCTATAAGGTCTAATTGGGTTTCTTCAATGGTTGACTTCGTTTGGAAAAAACGTAGCACTTTAATGGCAAGGTCTTTGATTTTGCCAGTTGAGAGTTTCCGAGCTACTGTTTTTCCGTTAGTGTATGCAGTTAAGGCAGTGGCTTCGGGTGGATTAGAAGTTATAAGGAAGATTTCAAAGGGTTCAAAAGTGAATGGGACTGTGGTGGATTCCAATGCTGAGAAATTAGTTGGGGTTTCAGATTTGGTCACCCATTTGGCTCCCTTTTTGGCATCTTCGCTGGAACCTGCATTGATCTTTGACGTTGGGATTAATATGTTGTATTTGGCAGATGTGCCTGGTGGGAAACCGGAGTGGGCTTCACAGTCAATAATTGCGATTTTGACACTTTGGGATAGACAAGAGTTTGCTTCTGCTAGAGAAAGTATTGTTCGAGCTGTTGTTACAAATCTTCATTTGCTTGATCTTCATATGCAGGTACCTATGCTATTATCTTTTTTATTTTTACTTTTTGCATACATTAAATATATTGATTTCTGAGTGTGCATGAGATAGATTGAATCAGTGGTATGGAGAGTTTGGGAAATTTTATTGGTGTGAGTGTTTCCAGGTTAGCTGTGACATAGGTATAGAATAATGAGATATCATGTTAGAGTTCATTCTTAGAAGTTTCTTTATTGCTTTTTTTTTTGGAAGTCAGTCCTGATATTGTCTTTTCAGAAGTGACTTGTGATTTCTGTGTCATATAAGATATGTGTAAGAGCTTCAATTGCTTAGAGTCTTAGGCTTGTATTGTTTGAACTTGATGTAGAAAATGACCTAATCTGCTAAACTTTCACTTGAAGGTATCATTGTTCAAGAGGCTACTTCTTATGGTAAGAAACCTGCGAGCAGAATCGGACCGTATGCATGCTTTAACATGTATTTGTCGTACAGCTTTATGCGTTGATCTATTTGCAAAGGAAAGTGTCCGGAGAGGTCAGAAACCTCTTGCCGGAACTGATATAGCTTCCCTTTTCGAGGATCCTAGCGTAAAAGATGATCTTCATAATGTTGCAAGTAAAAGCTTGTTCAGAGAGGAGTTTGTAGCAACTCTTGTTGAAAGTTGCTTCCAGTTGTCATTACCTTTGCCTGAACAAAAGAACTCAGGTATGGAGAGTAGAGTGATCGGAGCCTTGGCATATGGAACAGGTTATGGTGCATTAAACTGGACAGAGACAGCTCTTGAAGTGGTGGAAGTTTGCAGACCATGTGTCAAATGGGATTGTGATGGAAGGACTTATGCAGTTGATTGCTACTTGAAGCTTCTTGTTAGGCTCTGCCACATTTATGATACTCGGGGAGGTGTGAAAAGAGTCAAAGATGGGGCTTCCCAGGATCAGATATTAAATGAGACAAGATTGCAGAACTTGCAGCGTGATCTTGTAAGGGATCTACGTGAGGTATGTGAGATTTTATAGAGAACTTAAGTGCTACACCATATATCTTACAATATATGTTCTGCTCTGCAAATAGCTTTTGTTTTGTGATAGGATTTTACTATTTTGATGGTGAATTGATAAGTAAATATTTATTCTAATTTCCAAGGGTATTTAGGCTTTATTTTGGCCTGATTGTTGCTAGTGTTGTTAAGTTATGTAAACCTCTGGGTTGTTGGTGTTGTTTCATCATGGTGTTCATTTGCTAGGTAAATACCTCAAGAATATGTGCACGTCTTCTTTGGGCTATTTCAGAACACATAAACCTGGAAGGGCTGGATCCACTCCTTGCTGATGATCCTGAGGATCCTCTAAACATCATTGTGTCGAATATTCGCAAGGTCCTCTTCAACGTAGATTCATCCACAGATTCCACAAATAGGCCTCAAGATGTTCAGGCTGCTCTTCTATGTGCTCAGCGGTTGGGATCTCGTCATCTTAGGGCTGGGCAGTTACTAACAAAGGAGCTTGAAGAGTTCAGAACCAATGCGCTGGCTGATTCTGTCAACAGGCATCAGTGCCGTATGATTTTGCAGAGAATTAAACATATCTCTAACCACCCTGAAAGCAGGTGAGATTTATGTTTGTGTATATTCTGAAGTTCTAGATTTTAAAACAACTGATCACCCATTGGATGTTTCTTTAGTGTAAAGTGCTTTAAAGTTCCCTTTGACATGATTTTTTTTTTATAAATATTTTGGGCTGAATTTGGGATGGACTGCATTTTTGGTGAAGGGCTTCATGTTTGTTATTAACCATAGTGGGCTATAGAAAGCTTCTTCCCTTGTTAAAAAGTGCTATTTCCATTTTTATTGCTATAATAATCTTGTTAAACTAGTTCAACTGGAGTAGATTCTTCCTTGTATGTTTCCCAGGTCTTAACATGAAATGCAAAAATAGACCCATTAGTATTTTTGGCATTCTTATTAACTGCTATGAGATATGGAATGTTTTTTTTTTCAGGTGGGTAGGGGCTAGTGAAGCCAAAGGAGATTACCCATTTAGCCACCATAAACTGACTGTTCAGTTTTATGATGCATCAGCTGCCCAAGACAGAAAACTGGAAGGGTTGGTTCATAAGGCTATTTTGGAGCTTTGGAGACCTGATCCCAGTGAACTTACACTTTTGCTGACAAAGGGAATTGACTCCACATCACTCAAGGTTCCTCCAACTGCTCGCACTTTGACTGGTAGCAGTGATCCCTGCTACATTGAGGCCTATCATCTGGCAGATGCAGGAGATGGAAGGATCACTCTACATCTGAAGGTTAGACTAGTTTATTATTTTTAACTTCTTTGCCTCTTAAACCCTTTTTTCTTTTAGTTTCTATATGATCCAACTTCTAAGGTAACGCGTCTGTTGGTGGTCCTGAAGCATATGTTGAATCGAGCTAACTTAATTTATTGAAACTTGATAAATGAATTTTGAAACTTACTAAATATAGTTTCATAAATGTTCGACTTTATGGAGGCCTTGCAGGGTTATCTTGAGTGCTTTCTAAGTGGTAAATTTACCCTTTTCTGTAGTAAAGTTTTAGTAGAAGGTTATGTAGTAATGCTAGAGAGATTAAAGTATTTCATGCTTTTACACCATTCTATTAATGCATCCTTGTCATATTTGAGTTACGAATCAAATTTTTTTCGTGTTTCCATGTATATGGCAAAAAGCAAGGTCCAGTCATGATAATCCGGACATGGTATCCATAATAAATGTTGGCTCTTTTTTTGTGTTGTGGTTCTTACTTGCTATGATAAGTAATG